GCCCCCCCCCTCCCTCCCCGCTCCCCCCGCACGTCACGGCGGCCGCAGTGGCGTCACCGGGAGCGGCGCCGCCGTGGCGTCACCGGGGGCGGGCGAGCGCCCACGTGGGAGGGGGATCCCCGCCCCCGGCGGGGTCAGGGCGGGGGGAATCCCCACGCGGGGACACCCCCTACCCCCGGCTCCGGGACCCCCGGTTCCCCCCGGGGCTCCTCCGGTCCGTACCGGCACCTCCCGGGAACGTGTCGTTCCTCCCCCCCGCAGCCCCCCCCGCGCTCTCACGTTCGTTCTCCCCTCGCTCTCCGCGRCCCCGGCTCGACCCCCGAGAACGGMRRMGCATCGGGARCGGGACCCCGCCGGYCCCCGGTGCTCCCCGGTTCGGCCGCGGGGACGGCGGCCCCYCCAGCTCCCCCCGGCCCCCGGGATCCCCGGTGACGTCACGCGGCACCGGCCGGGCCGCGCTGCGCAGGGCCCGGGGGCGACACCGGCACCGGGGCGGCGGGGGGAGAACGGGGAACCGGGGCGGGCGGAGCTGTCCCGGTACGGCCGCAATGCAAGGGAGGGGGTCCCTTCCCGGTGCGGGGCAGCGGGGCCCGGTGCGCTGGTTCCCCGCCCGGTGGAGGCTCCCGGGGGGTTGGGGAGGTGCCGGTACAGAGCCGAGGGTCCCGGTACAGCCGGTCCGGTTTCAGGGGGTCCCGGTATAAATCCGGGGGTCCCCGTACAGCCATCCCAACCCCGTGAGGGTCCCAGCGGGTCCCGGTATCCCCGTCCCCGGTGCCCGTCCTGCGCGGTGCGTACCTGGGGGAGGGCGGCGGGGGCGGCCCGCACCAGCCCCGGTGCCCGCCCGGCCCGGTGCGCTGCGGTGCCGGTGCCGGTGGCGGAGCCGGGCGGGGCGCAGGTGCTCCCGGCCCCGCGTGATGTCAGCGACCGCCACCACCCCCTCCGCCACCGGGGCCGCGCCGCCATTTAAAGGGACCGCGGCCCAAACTGGTGCTGGGGGGGGCATGGCGGGGGCACCCCCGCACCGGAGCCGCGGAACCCCCGGGATCCCGCTCCTCCGTGGGGCTGAGCAGAGCCCGGTACCGGGGGGGCACCGGCGGAGCTGTTGAGGGGGGGATGGGGGTGAGTTTGGCGCTGTCCCGGTACCCACGGGCCGGGTGTCCCCCAGCCCCGCACGGGGCGAGGCGGGGCCGGAGTGGCTCCCCGGGACCGGGACGGGGCCGCTCTTTTGTGCTGCGAAATGGTGGAGCTGGAACTGCAGGAGGGGGACAGAGGGAATGACGGAGACCGGGACAGACAGATGGACACAGGGCTGGGGAGTGACACGGGACCCGCATCTGTCACTCCCGGGCTGTCCCTGCTGCTGTTCCCGAGGGGGTTTCCCCCTCTGGAGACCCCATAGGACATCTGGGGGCTTTTCCTTCTCCTGGGGACCCCCCAAGTTTGGGGGTCCGTTCCTTGCTGAGACAGAACCCAGCACAACCCCGCACCCCCATGGAGGGGATCCGGGGGTGAGGAGGCCCCAAGGCTGGGGGCTCACAGGACCCGGGACCCCTCCAGACCACAGCACACAAAACCTGCGAACGTTTTCACCGATGTTTTATTGGAAATGTTAAATACTGGGGGTGGGGGGTTCAGGGGGGGGCTCAGGCGTGTTCCTCTGCCAGCTTCTCCGCCTTGGCCACCGCCTCCTCGATGGGCCCCACCATGTAGAAAGCCTGCTCGGGCAGGTGGTCGTATTCACCTGGGGGAAAACACACCATGTCAGGGGGGAGTGGGAGACCCAACCATGCTCCCCCAAACTCCCTGAAAACCACCTCACCTGCCAGGATCTGCTTGAAGCCCTTGATGGTCTCTTTGAGTGGCACCAACTTGCCCATGTGGCCAGTGAAAACCTCGGCCACCTGGAAGGGCTGGGACAGGAACCTCTGGATCTTACGGGCACGGGCCACAGTCAGTTTGTCCTCCTCGGACAACTCGTCCATGCCCAGGATGGCGATGATGTCCTGCAGTGACTTGTAGTCCTGCAGGGGACAGTGACACACGGGGTGAGTGGTCAGCGCTGATCCCCACCCCAACACCCCATGGAAAGGGGCTCTCCCGACCCCCTCACCTGCAGGATTTTCTGCACACCCCGAGCCACGTCGTAGTGCTCGGGGCCCACGATGTTGGGATCCATGATACGGGAGGTGGAGTCCAGAGGATCCACGGCCGGGTAAATGCCCAGCTCGGCGATGGCACGGGACAACACCGTGGTGGCATCCAAGTGGGCGAAGGTGGTGGCAGGCGCAGGGTCAGTCAAGTCATCGGCCGGCACGTAAATGGCCTGGGGACACRGAGGGGAGGGAGCAATGGGTGACAGGCAGGTGACACAGCCCTTGGGGACACCAGGGTTGGTTTTATCCTCACCTGMACCGAGGTGATGGAGCCCTTGCGTGTGGTGGTGATGCGTTCCTGCATGGTGCCCATGTCAGTGGCCAGCGTGGGCTGGTAGCCCACAGCCGAGGGGATTCTGCCCAGCAGGGCTGACACCTGAGGGGACACAGWGTGTGTGAGGGGACAGAGCACCAGGRGATGGGGGCAGGACACCCCCCTGTGCCCAGCACAGACCTCAGAGCCAGCCTGGGTGAAGCGGAAGATGTTGTCAATGAAGAGCAGCACGTCCTGACCCTCCTGGTCCCTGAAGTACTCGGCCACCGTCAGCCCCGTCAGGGCCACTCTGGCGCGAGCACCCGGGGGCTCGTTCATCTGCCCGTACACCAGGGCGACCTGTGGGTGGGACCCTGGGGTCAGCACGGTGTCACTGCATCAAGGGACCCAAACCTCCCCAGGGGGATGCTACACACCTTGGAGGTGGCATCTTTCAGGTTGATGACCCCGGATTCAATCATCTCGTGGTACAAATCGTTGCCCTCGCGGGTCCTCTCGCCCACGCCGGCGAACACSGAGTAACCACCRTGGGCCTTGGCCACGTTGTTGATCAGCTCCATRATCAGCACAGTCTTGCCCACACCAGCACCTCCAAACAAACCTGGCAAGGAAGGAAATGGTTTTGTTCAGCCTCGAGCTGGCCTGGCAGCCCTTGGTGTCTCCATTCTGCTTTTTCCTCCTCAGATGGAAACACCGTTGCTTCAGCACACACTCAGGAGAACGAAAGTCATGGAGTGAATCATCAGTGAAGGAAAWGTTCCCCCGAGGAATTTTTGGGTCCCTCTCCCCAGACCCACCCCACTCTGGGGGTGTCACATACCGATCTTGCCACCCTTGGCATAGGGAGCCAGCAGATCCACGACYTTGATCCCTGTCACCAGGATCTCCTGCTCGACGCTCATCTCCACAAATTCAGGGGCCTCGGCGTGGATAGCAGCAAATCTGGAGCAGGGGGAGGAGAAGGAGAGGGTGGGCAGCTGCTCTGAGCCCTCAGGGCTGGCACGGGACAGTCCCCACCATGACCCAGAAGAGCCAGAGCCACCTCCCTGCTCCCAGTTCCTCATCACTCACTGTTTGGTCTTGATGGGGCCCCTCTCATCGATGGGTTCCCCGATGACATTCATGATCCTGCCCAAGGTCTCGGGACCCACGGGGATRCGGATGGGAGCACCAGAGTCCAGCACCTTCTGTCCCCTCACCAGCCCTTCCGTGCCATCCATGGCAATGGTACGCACCGTGTTCTCCCCTGCCGAGGTGCAAGGACAGCACAGTCACCGCAGYGTCCTCAGGCTGACCCTGAGGGGACAGCTGCTGGTGGCTTCCCCAGGTCCTGCCAAAGGGACATTCTGCTGGGAGAAGGACCTAGGAATAAAACAGCCCCAAGGAAAACCGAGCCCACGCTGTGGGCAGCCATTTTCCTCCTCCTCAGACCGAAATCCTTGGCTTCAGCAAGCTCAGGAGAACGAAAGTCATTGGAAACATCATCACAGGAGGATCTCCTCCATGTCCCCGGTGCTTACCCAGGTGCTGAGCCACCTCCAGCACCAGCCGGGTCTCCCTGCCCTGCACCTCCAGCGCGTTCAGGATGGGGGGCAGCCCCTCGTCGAACTGCACATCCACCACGGCSCCGATGACGGCCACGATGCGGCCGGTGGCGGAGCCGGCCTTGGCGGCGGGGGCTGCCTGGGCGGCATARTCCCGTCCTGAGGGGAGAGAGAGGGACGAGTCAAGGTCGGCCGGGGGAAGGCAGCTTCGGGGAATGCGAAAAGGRAGCTCCCCTGCAGGTTTKGGGTGTGCCCGAGACCCCTGAACCMCGCTSRGKGCRCTCAGGATTTGSTGAATCTTTTTCCTCAATGCACCCTTAACCCCCGTGCCCCGCTCGGAGCATTTTTAATCCGTTGTCTTCGTGTACGCTGGCTGTCTTTCCTTCGATACACCCAGGACCCCTTAAACCCTCCTCAGTGCAGCCAGGACCTCCACACCCTTATAGGGGTACAACCGCAGCCCCTTCAGCCCCCTCAGTGAACGCAGAACATCCCAAATCCCATTTCCTCAGTGCATCCACGCCCTGAACCCCCTCCCACTGCAGCCCGAGTGACCCCCACGCCCACTCACCGCTCTGCTACCGCCGCCCATCCCCTCACCCTGCCCGCTTGAGCACACCCCACCCCATCCCGGTAACCGGGGCCTGACCACCGGCACCCCGAGCCCCCCACCCGCGCAGGCCCCAAGGTGACCCCGGCCCGCCCTGCACTCACGCGCTCCGACGGCGGCGGCGGCAACCGGGGCGGCCCCGCGGCCGAGGAGCAGCGGGAGAAGATCGCGGCCCGGGGTGGCCCCGCGGGGCAGCAGCGGCCGGGCCGCAGCGGCGGCGGCGGCAGCGGAACGACCCGCAAGCCCCAACATGGCGGCGCCGACTGAGCCCCGCGTCCCGCCCTCCCCTCACGGCCCCCGCGGGGCGGGACCGCCGAGCGCAACGTCACCGCCGCACCGCGCTCTCATTGGCTGTCACTCCGAGCGGCGCCGGGAGAATTCGCGCTCCTATTGGTCGCGCTGATGCGGCGGCCTCTCTGTGCTTGCTCGCGATTGGATTTTGGATCCATCCATCAAAGCGCGCTGTGCGCTGATAGGGCGATGCGGGGGAAGGGGCGTGTCCCGGGCGAAGGTTAGCGGAAGTGGCGGCGCACGTGTCCCGTGCTCGTCCTTGGGCGGGCGCCGTGACCGCGSCCGAGGCCGCTCCGGTCGCACCGGGCCCGTATCCGCCCCGTTTGCGATTTTGCTCCACCCCCGGACACCGTGTCCGCTCCACGCGCCCGGGTGTCACTGTAATACCCCCCGAGCCGCCCCACGCCTCCAGCTCCTGCTGTCCCAGGGGCCAAAAACTCACCCCACCGCCCCCCTGGGATTCTGGGGACCACCCCACTAATTCTCCCGTGCCCCCCATATAAAAAGATCCCACCCCACCAGCTCCAAACTGCCCCTAATCATCGCGGATCCCACCCTTCTGACTCT